CAACAATATTTGCACTCCCAAGATTACTAGGTGCTCCCCTAAAAGAAAATGACAAGAAAAATAAATTTCTATTCTAATTGATCCAAATAGAAGGTCAAAATAAAATAAATATTTACAAGCAAGAAAAAATTGAACTATTATTAAAAACAAAAAACTCAAGATGAGCTTATGCTTTCCTCCTTTATGTCTAATTCACTCTTTTATAACTTCTTTTAGACTTGACCTTTAAACATGATAACATCATATATGACATCCTTACTACCCCCAACACATACATTATGATAATGTGAATAGTTAAAGAAATAAAATTTTCAACGTTGGTAAACGGGTTTACGTAAAACCTTCATAATTGTTCTTCAATATCCAAAATAGTTGAAAAGAAACTTGGAAAATAAAACCTAAGAGTTTACAAATTATTTTCAAAATAATAAGTACAACTCCAAACACATAAAAATCTATGTCCTATAAATCCTCAGCCCCGATGTCACAATATCATAGTACACCCATAACTCAACTGTTGACATTCTGGATGTCACTCATAGCCGGATCTTCCTCACCTAAAACATCCACAAATTGTACTGTGTGAAAAGAAAACATCTATATGTAAAGCACACAAGGAAAAGCCATGACATAATCTCATCATAACTCATTACATAATGAAATATTTACAACCATTTCTACATATCATAATTTTATCAATCATGCATCATCTTTACATCACAATTCTCAATCATACCAATCCATCACATCATATAATTTGTACTATGTTAAGCTCACGTCACCCTTGTAGCATCCCGTGCCCAAGGTCGTGCCATGCCAACATAAGCACTAATTTCTACACATAAATCTTGCAATTAACACCATGCCATGCTCACGCCACCCTTGTAGCATCTCTTGCCCAAGGTCGTGCCACGTCGACATATGTGTTAATTGTCTCACACGTCCCACACTATGCTATGCTCACGCCACCCATTCCTTTGACAATTATAAAATAAAAGAACACATAGAGAGTTATACTCATCCAAATAATCTCAAACATATCTCAAAATAAACATAAGAGAATCATATACAACTCTTATGAAGACATGAAATTCATACAAAATCATCTACTTATCTAAAAATGTCAAAAACCGCAACAGATATAATCAATGCTGACAGCTTGACCCTTGTTCACTAAAATAGCCATAACTATAGTTCTAGACCTCCTTTTTAGGTGATTCAAATTCCATTGAAAAGATAACATCCAAGGCTACAAATTTTATGAAGACATCAAAGTCTAATTCAAAAAGCACCAAACCTATCAGCGCCTTCCAAAGCGCTTAGTGTGTTACCTCCAGGAATTCTCCTCTACCACGCGGCCCCCAAAGGGGTCAGCCCTTCAAAAGCCCTCAATGCTTCAAAAGCACTCAACCCTTTCAAAAGTGCTCAAACCTTTCCAATGGCTCAGTCCTTTGTCTTCAGGGATCCTTCCCTATCACATGGCCCCCAAAGGGCTCAACCCTTTCAAACGGCTCAACCGTTTGATGACAATGGGCCTCCACACCTGAAACTCAAAAAATTCAACATGCAATCCCTTGAATCCATCCCCACAATTGCAGATTCCAAAGGTTTTATTAATAATAAACTTTTAATCTATTCAATGATTCAACCAACATCCCATGTTCTAGAATCCCTTACGAATCCTAACTTACAGGCACATTTCCAATGAATCGACCTCTCTCCCAAAACATCAATTTTAACAATTCTTTATATATTCATAATCCTAAACATGTACAGAATCTCATAATACCAATAATTTTCTAGATAGAAATAATTATAAGATTATTAAAAATTACAAGAGAACTCTTCTCCACCTATTCCCCATGTGATTCTACACATAAATCTCCCCTTTTCCCCATACCTGATGATGTGAATCTGATAGTCACGGTGAAAGTTGAGATTGTTCCTGAGTTTTCCTCCTTAGAGCTTATGTATATTCTCTCTTATCCTCTTACTCCTTCAAAATGTCAAAAATGAGAACTGATGGGGTTAATCTGCTGACCCTTCCTTTTCATTCCCTCGGACCGGGTCAACCCAACCCAACTCAATTCCGACCCGTTTCTCATTCCTTTCCAAAACAATTATGAAATAAATAATAATAATAATAATAATAATAATAATAATATAAAATATATTTCTCTTCAATAAAGAAAATAATAATTATTATATCTTTACATCTCCAAAAATATAATAAAAATATAATTTTATAAATAATATTATTTGCTGAAAAATAGGGTGTTACATCATACACAATGCATAATTACAAGTTGATGCCATGTGTATTCGTTTTTAAAACATTAGACTTTTTTTGTTCTTTTTGTTGTTTGATTATCTTTTACTTTATGTTAAAAACAACAATATTATCGCATGAATAATTTTACTATTATCCTTACTTTTAATTAGGGAAGTCTAGTCTGTTTAAGGCTTGTCTCGCGAAACCCGCATTTTATGTAAGTCGGACAAGTCCGGTTTATAAAATAAATAGACTTTTTTTAAGTTAGTGTTTGAAAAAATATATTGTTAAAAATAAAAATGCATAAAATTAGAAAAAGGAAAATATCTTTTTTTATTTTTAAGCTAAAATCTAGCATACTAAAATTTACCAACATTTAGAATTGAATTAGCACAATAAATATTAAAATGTTAAGACTAAAAATATTTATATAACAGTACCAAACTTTCAATAACAAAAGCATCAAAATGTCTTAAAATAATCCAATTTCAAATACACATCAACAAAACATAGTTTTAATCTCATAATAATTTAGAAGTTTAAATGCACAACATAATATTAAAGTCTTAATATCTAAAAAAATAATTAGTAAAATATGTGAGTTATCCCTCCGACCCTCGTATTAAGTCCACCAAGTCTGCAGACTTCATGGACTAAGTTTGAAAATTAAAAATAATTATACGGATTTAAAAAAAGGTACATTGTCTACAAAGTCTGTGGGCTTAATGGATGGCCCGCGGACTTGGGTTCATCTACCCATCACTACTTTTAATCAAATGAATTCATCATTGGAAGTTGATCCAATTTTTTTAGAAAAATAAATATTTTATTGAAATCCAACCTTGCCCATTCCTATTTTAAAATCATCCTCTTCAATCTTAAACCCTTACTTTCCTAAAACTTTTTTTTAAAATCTTACTAAGCATAGTAATCCATCGAAACTTAGCAAATGAGAATATGTCTTATCATGAGAGATAAGAAAACTAAATAATATTTTTTAGATTATAGATAAAAATAAATAATGACTGAGATATAAAGTTCAATTATAAACACTTCTACGTGATATTATTACTATTATGGCTTCCACAACTACCACCATCACTATCACTTGCCACCACCATTTTTGTTGTCACTATTATAATCACCACCATTGCACTATGATACCATTATCACCACCCATCATAATTATTGTCACTATCACGGTCAATGTTGTTGTTGTCACTACCATCATTATTATTGTCATGTAGTAGTGATAATAAACAACAATGATGAATGATGGTAGTAACAACAATAATAACTATGGTGGAGACAAGGTAGTAATGGTGATAATTGTGGGTGGTTGTGTCAATTGGGAACAATAATAATGATGATAATTGTAGAGACAACTATAGTACTAATAATTTAATAGAAGAAATATTTATAATTATGTTTTAATTTCAACTATTAGTATCATTATTTTCACTACCATCATCACTATTATTACGACTATTTAATTTTTTATTTTTATTTTTATTTTATCTCTTTTAATTTATAATTTTCATTTTCATTTTTACTTTTAAATTAAGTTTTAATATTTTAGAAATTATCAGATAAATTAAAATGACTTTTATCATAATATAAACTATTTATCATAACATTAAAATATAATTTATTCAGTAAAAAAATATTTATTTATAATAAATTTTAATTATAATTTATTTTATTTTAGTTATATAAAATAAAAATTTATCCTATTCGTTATATAAGCTAAAATATTAGTTTCAAAATAAATAATATTATATTATTTTCATATTTATAAAACTAATTAGAATCATAATTTTAATAATTTTATACCCAATATAAATTGATAATTACGGTACGCACAACTTTACAGAACACTCGAACAAGAAAAAAGCATGAAAAACATATACACCAAACAAGGAAAAAAAACCAACATCAAAAAGTTGAGAGCAACAGAAAACAAAGTATTAAAAAAAAGGTTTATAATATTTATTTATTTATTTATTATTATTTATTTTATTAATTTTAATTTTCTAAATTTAAAAAAAATTTAAATAACTTTTATTTTATGTTAATAATAATATAGTATAAATTTAATTATATCACATGAATGACTATTTTTATTATATATAATATGACTAAATACATGTCACATTATGGTTTAAGCAATTTAAAAAAATATATTCAAAAATGAACATTAATAATTTTTTAAACAACTAACATCACATTGAATCATAATAAATTTCACCAATTAAAAAATTGGAAGGTAGGAGTGCCTCATGGGTCGAGAATGAAAGTTCCTTGTGCCAGCCACAACTCATTTCCTCTATCAGTATATGCACTTAAAAAGCATTAAACTTTGCGAAAACAAGAACAAGAACCTAGGCGAGGTTGGGTTTCTTTTAGAGGGAACACATAACCATTAAGATAAGGAACTGCACCTTATTATTTTATTTGGTTTAGCTTTGCTTGTGAAGTTGGCTTCGTTTTCTGCAATTCCCACTCCTCAAAGCCACACCCTGCATCACCCCCCAAAAACTAACAGAAAAGCAAAAACAAGAATAATAATAATAATAATAATAATAATAATATAAAAATAATAATAATAATAATAAAGCCCAAAAACTAAAACAGCATATTATTAATATTGTTGTAATTATTGTTACAGTTTTCATTTGTCTTGGCCCTTTATTTTTCGATTGGATCTGAGGCTCTTCCGCGTTGCAGAATCTGTGGAGTGTAGTTTCTTTGTTCTAACCACACTTGTTCCACAGCCATGGTAGAAGGTTTCTTACTCTGCAAATTCATTGTCATTCTTCTGCTGTGATCAGGTATGCATGTGCTTTTCTGTTTGTTTATTTATTGATATTTTGCTCTACACATACCCTTTTGCTGCCTTTCTTTATGGGGTGGCTTTTAATCACTGTTCCCGTAGTGTAATCAAAGAAAAAGCTGAAGGTGGCTTCTAAAGAATAAAAAAACAAAACTTTAACTTGGGTGCTGTTACAAGTTAATACATTTTTGGAATCAAAAGCAAAGGGGGTCTTGGTTTTGCCAAGTTATGGTTTTGGTTTGTGTGGTGTCGATCAGAGAGGAACCGTATTTCTTTGTAAATTTGTGAAAGACCAAAACTTTGATATCTGTAAGCCTTTGTGAGTTCCCTTGATATTTTTCTTTCTTTGGGGTTAAAAATGATGCTTTGCGTTTGGGTTCAGCCGTTTTTTGCCTAATGGATTCTGTTCAGTTGGGTGGTTTTCTGGTGATTGCATCTAAAATGTGTCTCTTGCTAAGTTTCTGATGTTTTCCTTTATTCTAGCTGTTTGTATTTCATTCTGGATCATTTTAAGGCTTTTTTAAAATTTCAACTAGCATAATTGTGTTGTCTTACTCTTATTTTTATCACGAAGAAAATTTTGTACAAGGGGATTTTGTACTGGTTGTGTTTGTTTCTTAACTCAACATGCTGAGTTCGATTTTGCAGCTCATCTAGGATTTCTTAATGGGGCCACCTGTTAATGGGGTTGATTCTTTATCAGAGGTTCAGAATTCGGTTTCTGTGGTAGATCATGGTCCTTCTTCAACATCTGAGATTCCTGGGCCTTCTCGGCCTCCGATAAGAGCATCTAAAAATAATGGGGCTTCTTCCAGTCAGCAAAATTATGGAATGAAGACTGTACACCACCAAAAGCATCCCGATCAGGTGGTTGACAATGTGGAGCGTGACGGAACGTCAGATATGGAGAAGCAGTATTATAATGTTAACGGAAAATCTGATTATGTAAGCCTCAATAAATCTGTTGAAAGTTGTTTAGGAAAGAATATCTCCACAATGGAAGCAAAATTAAGCATCAAGCAACCATTAGACTCTTCCAAGAATTGTGATTATAGTGGCGAATTAGAATCTGACAATTGCAAATTAGGTTCATCAAAAGGAGTTGTTGATCAAACAAAGAGTTACTGTCAATCAGAGATTACTTTTTGTCCAAGTCCTCAGAATAGTTTCTATTCAGAAGCCAAGGATAGTTTTGCCAATACTGGAGTCAGTGAATGTGTTAGTGTTGATAAGTCAATTGAAAGTGGAGAAGTTACTAATTCCTGCGAATTTAATGAGAGCAGGAAGACCAGTATCTGTAGAGGGAGTACTGGAAGTGACATCAGTGATGAGAGCAGCACCAGTAGTTTGAGCAGTGCTTTGTATAAACCCCACAAGGCAAATGATATTCGATGGGAAGCAATTCAAGCAATCCGAGTCCGTTATGGGGTGTTGGAAATGAGACATTTTAGATTGTTGAAGAAATTGGGATGTGGAGACATAGGAAGCGTATATCTAGCTGAATTAAGTGGCACAAGGACTTGTTTTGCCATGAAAGTAATGAACAAAACCGAGCTGGCAAGTCGCAAGAAGCTTGTTAGATCTCAGACAGAGAGAGAGATTCTGCAGTCTCTAGATCATCCATTTCTACCAACATTATACACACACTTTGAGACAGAGACATTCTCCTGCTTGGTAATGGAGTTTTGCCCTGGTGGGGACTTGCATGCACTCAGGCAGAGACAACCTGGGAAGTATTTTCCTGAGATTGCTGCCAGGTTAGCTATTCCATTTTTCCTTGCTTGCCCGGTTGCCCCCTCAATTCTATCTACATACAACATGCATACACATGGGGTCTGTTTGGATTTTCCGTAAGTACTTCTAGGAAAGAAAAATTAGAATAAGCTTCTCCATAAGCTAAAACTAGCTTTTGTATGAGTTAAAAATGAGATTTTAGAAAAGTTAATAGGAAAACATTTCTACAAATTAGTTTATGTATAAGCTAATTTTGGTTTATGAAGAAGTTTATTTCATTTTTCCTTCCTATTTTTCTCTCCTAGAAGTGTTTCTAGACAAGTTTACCCAAACAGGTCCATAGACAAGTAGCAACGATCAATGAACCTGATATTTTAGATGATTCTACATTTCTTGGATTCATGGACCAAGTGTTCTGTGGAACCAGAAGGGGAACTGTATTATTTTAAGAAAGCTCTATCTTTGAAGAGAGTAAGGGAACCTGGCTGAAGTTTTCATTATATAAATGAAAAGCTGGAGTGTCACATTGTACTTCCTATCCATTGATGCCTCAAGGACCATGGGAAACTTTATATTTTGTCATGTCTCTAAAGGTTATTTGTTTGATTTTCAAATATGTATCTCCTTAGAAACTCAATATATTTAGCATAACATGGCCCAAGAATTTGAAGTATCCAAGATAATTTTTATCACTGCCATTTTGTGGTCTGAAAACCCTAAAGAGTTTTCAACCATCTTTATGGATGTCTGCCAAATTTGATAAAATTATGTTTGTCTGCACACTACCTTTTCTCTCTCAGCATGCATAATTACTTTAGTTTGCTACCACCTTTTCCCACAATCGTGAAATTCTGAGTGAATTTTATACACTTTGTTAGTTACTGATTTTACAAATCTCAATTTCCTTATCACTTCTCACTTCAACTGTTGTGAATGCAATGTGACTTGGGTCCTTATAACATTTTTTTAATGGCTTTTCTAAGTGTTAACATATCTGTATTTGCTTATTTTTTTAAGCAAGTAACTAGTATCTCTTGTTGGCTGTCATTGATAACTTCTGCACTTGATTAACAGCCAAGAGTGATACGATATCAATTCATTTGATCTCTCTGGCCTCTCTAGTTGCTTGGTAGATGGTAGTCATTCCTCTATCCTAAGTCCTGTCTACATGAAAGATATATTAAGTTGTTTTTTTATTAGCTCCCAGTGAACTTTTTTCTTTTGTCAGTAAGAATTACAATGACAATAACAAGATTTAAACCTAGACCTTGTGGATACTGTTTAGATACCAGTACTTAGAACTTGTTTGGATTGAATGTTTTGAGAAGTGGCGAAGATATTACAACTAAGTATGTTTTTATTTCATTAATCTGTACCATGCAGGTTCTATGTGGCAGAAGTTCTCCTTGCTTTGGAGTACTTGCACATGCTCGGCGTCATCTACAGAGACCTTAAGCCAGAGAATGTGTTGGTGAGAGAAGATGGCCATATAATGCTCTCAGATTTTGATCTCTCTCTAAGGTGTGCTGTCAGTCCTACTCTGGTGAAGTCATCAAACACTAGCTTGGAAACAAAAAGCTCAGGATACTGCATTCAGCCTGCCTGCATTGAGCCAACTTGTGTAATACAACCAGATTGCATTCAACCTTCATGCTTCACACCACGCTTTCTCTCTGGAAAATCCAAGAAAGATAAAAAGTCAAAGCAAAAAAATGATGTGCAAAATCAGGTGACCCCTCTACCTGAGCTTATTGCCGAGCCCACGAATGCTCGATCAATGTCCTTCGTGGGGACACACGAGTACCTGGCACCTGAGATCATCAAAGGTGAAGGGCATGGCAGCGCCGTGGACTGGTGGACTTTTGGAATATTCTTATACGAGCTCTTGTTCGGTAGAACACCGTTCAAAGGTTCGGCGAACCGAGCAACGCTGTTTAATGTTGTTGGCCAGCCCTTGAAGTTTCCAGAATCCCCTACTGTCAGCTTTGCTGCCAGGGACTTGATAAGGGGTTTACTTGTGAAGGAGCCTCAGAATCGCCTTGCATATAGACGTGGAGCTACCGAAATAAAACAACATCCATTCTTTCATAATGTTAACTGGGCACTGATCCGATGTGCAAATCCTCCAGAAGTTCCAAGAATGGCCATGAAAGCACATTCAGCTGAAAAGGTGCCTGGTGTGAAGCCTTCTGGTAACTATTTAGATATTGATTTCTTTTGATCCTGATGTCTGTTTTCTCCTTTGAACTAATTTCCATCTTCTATTTGTGTTGTTTGCCCATGGTTCTTTCCATTGTATAAAATGCTGCCACTCTTTTTATCTACATTCATCGATGCTTGCAATTGTCCATGATAAACTGCTGTAAGAAACTCCAAATGCATTAAATTGAAGAACAAGGTTTCTGGTCTCTTATTGCTATTACTCTTAACAGTTTTCGTTATGCCTAGTTTTCCAACACACACAAAGACATATTTGTAGACACCTGAATTATCTCACTTTTGATGGACTTAAATCTTGTCTCAAATTATATATTTGAATACATTATCTTTTTTCTTTTTTTTTTTTTTTTTTATGACTCACTCTCTTCTTTCTCTCGATTAACTCTCTTCACTTTACATATTTTCTCCTCCATTTCATAGTAATCTTCAAATAAAACTTATGAAAGTGGAAATGATTTTTAAGATTTTATATCTATTTTTTTTCAACTTTAATTTATTCCTATTGTTAGTATGTTATTATCTTCAAATTTAAGTAAAATTAATTTTCTTTTTAATATTTCTCTATTAATTTGATTCATTATTATTAAATGATTATGTATATAAAAATATTTACTCCCTAAATTTACAGAGAATAAAATGCTAGTTTATAATATTAATCTAAATGGTTTCATGGATTAATAGTAATCATCATCGTTGAGATCGGTTTACACGTACTATAGTACATCTGAAACAAACCCTCATTCTGGTCAAAGTTGTTCATACTATAAGATTAAATGGGCCACGGAATTTCTTGTTAGAATGTGGCGATGATACTTGCACGGTAAGTGAGTTTAAGACTCACAAGGTACGTGTCACATATACGGACCAATAATTCATGTACAGGATTTAAATGTTAGAAAGTGATAGATATATATAAAATATTAAAAAAAATGTCCAAGATATGTTTTTGCAATTTTTTGGGTTCCAAGGCAAGGCTTGATCTTTTGATTTTGACCTCACGAGTATGATGGCCTTGTCGTAGCACGCAGGAGAATCACTTTTCTTCGAACGTACGAGGTCAACATGAGTGGATCTTTATTGTAATCCCGGATAAAGATTAAATATCGACATAAAAATTGGTAATAAAATTTCTTAAAATACAATTAAAAATTGGAGATACTTTTTAATTAAAAGTAATTGACATATTACTGATACAAATTCACAGTTACGATATTGAAAAAGGCTCAATTATAATAATAATTACTAAAAAAAAGTCAAACGTTTTAGGACAACATACAAGAAATCCTCTTCAAATATGCCATGTGGGGAAAGCCTCGCTCCAAAACTCATCATTATGTCAATAATATGATTTATTCATCTCACCTAACACCCTATTATGGGTTCTTTGCACATGCATAAAGGTGTATTGATGAGCTTCAAAACAAATGAAGAAGTTCTTAATTAAAGGTGTTGTTTATATATATATATATATATGGAGAGATTCGTTTACTGTAAGAGTAAGTCTACTTAGACTTATTCCATTTAATAACTCATGTTCTACATTAAATTTCAACGATTTAATCATTGAATTTAAAGTTCTTAATACATAGATCAAATCTGCAAATTTTTAAAAAATTTGAAAATCATTTCATATTTCATTTGATTTTATATATTGATTTGAATTTATGAAACGAAATATCAAATGATTTTCAAATTTTTAAAAAATTTGAAAATCATTTCATAATTCATTTGATTTTATATATTGATTTGAGTTTATGAAACGAAATATCATATGATTTTAAATTTTTTCAAACATTTGCAGATTTGATCTATGCATTAAGAACTTTAAATTCAACAGTTAGATCATTGAAATTTGATATAAAACATGAACTATTAAACGAAATAAGTCTAAATAGACTTACTCCTATAGTAAACGAATTCTTCCTATATATAGTAAGTGAATGGTTTGGATTCAATTGACCAAATTCTACACTAATAATAATTATTCAAGACTTGGTGTTAATTGTTTATGGGGAAGCATGAATATGGAATTGAAGGGTTGAAAGCAATAATAGCATAGAGGGTCATGTGATGGTGAAGGAGAAATAGAATGAATGAAATGCACTAAGAAATGGGAGAGGGTGGTTGATTTTAAGCAGACAAAAAAAGAAAAGAAAGAGGCACTGAGAAATGAGAATACCGTGAAGGCATGGACCATGTAACTCGTAAGAGCATGCGTCATGAATCATGTGCCTTGTCCCGGCGATAAGGACGCGCATTCAATGCCTTGTCCTACGTAAAAAAGGCCGATCCAGATGCACGAATGCATTCATTTACTTATTTTTTTTATATTTAAATTAATAAACAACACAGGTGACCAAGTAAAAAAATAATAATTTAAATATACTGATATTTTTACACTTTTATCTAATCACAAAATATAATGTATGATAGAATTATTCACTTTTATAATTGTTGCTTACACATAGTGTAATTTTCAATGGACTGATTGGACAAAAGTTATAACACTAATTATGTATAAATAATAAATGAATAATTTATACTTTTAATCCTTATAATATTCTATTCAAGGAGTTGAAGAACTAAAAACAATGAGGAAGAGGGATGGGAGATTGTGAGACTGAGAGGAAGGAAAACGATGAAAACGAACAGATAATAGCATGACAAGTAAACAACATACTTTATTTTTTCTTCCAATTTTTACTAGGTGGGGGAAGTTGGAGGAGGTATTGATATCATTTAAGAGAAACAAGTGGCAGAATCGTTTTTGCTTTGTGAGATTTTGGTAAGTAAAAAATCTGCAAGAAATAGAAATCAATTGGACATGGATTTGAAGCTACAAGATGTGGGTTAATTTACCCTGCTATGTAGGTATGAATAGGCACCAAGATGCAAATGGAGGAAAGAAGGAGAAAAGGAATAAGGTGGTTGGAGTAATGAGGCAAAAAAATGTGGAGGAAAAAACAATTGTGAAGTCAATGGAAGAGGAATAAAAATGTCTTTTAAAATTGAGATGGAAGATATTAAATGGCTAGATAAATGCTATGTTGGAAAGGTGCACCCACCATAAATAGTTATTTCTTGAGGGATAGATTGATTTGGTGTTCATTAAGCCAAATGGTAGTGAAAATGTTCAAGAATTATCGAAGGATAAAAAGACCATAATGGAAAATTTATTTTATCAAATTAGTCCTTGGTCGTAGGAAAAAGTTCTAAGTCAAAGATACAAATAGGTGCGATATATTGGAGTACCAATTCATGCATGGAAGCAAGAATTTTTTGAAATATTGGTCGGTAGTGTAGGTAACTTTTTATCTATGAAATCGCCCAATGATTTTGATGAAAAGGGTGGATGTTGCGAGGGTCCAAATTTGCACTACGTCATGGGAAACTATTAATTTGGTGCCAAAGATGGTGAATGGGACAACAATATATGACATATTGGAATTGGAGGAGGAGGAGGAGCCAAAAGAGAATTTTTTTAAATTTAAAAGATGGTATTTAATGACATTAATGAGGTAGTTAAAGGAGATGATTATGGTGACTATGGAGGGCCTAAAAAAGGGAATTGGTATAACAGGAGAATGAGGGAAAGGTCGATGAGATAAGATTGGATCTGGATTTAAATGAAATTGAAATAAATTCGAAAACTATAACCGATGACAACATATGAAATATCAAAATGAAAGACATAGCAAAATGTTGTGATTTGGCTGTTGCTGAAAGTATTAATAATGGGGCTGAGGTGAATGAAGTGAGCCATTTGGTTGCTCATCAAATTTCAAATACTTTAATGGATTGAGATCAACAAATCAACAAATGGAGCTAGATATGGTACATGATCCAAGCCCATTACAAATAGTAGATGAAATTGATCAAATAGCCCAATCAACAGGTGTGAAAAACACAATGACTAACCATAGGGGAAGTCCAATGGGTTGGGCAGGGAGAATATAATGGTTTTGGATGCATATGTGAACAATAATGAGAGTTGGGTTGCAATAGAAGAAGTAGATGTCGAAGGAATGGATAAAGGTGGGGGTTTAGTTTTAAAATTTTACTTGAACCAAGACCCGTGACACAATCAATCCGAGCCTAATTTTGTACTTCTTCCATTTTTTTATAGTCATTTAAGGTTTTTGCATGAGACTTAAGGAAATGATTGATATTTTAATTTTCAAAAATATTTATTACTTACTTTTTAGTTATACCCTTTATTTTTATTTTTTTATTTTTTTTGTATTCAAGTTTTGTGTATACTTATTATTATTATGCGTTTTTTGAGAAGTCTATGAATTAATACATTGATTATTAGAATACACATATGAACTATAACCTATTCTATTTAATCACATCTTTAAGTAAACTGTGTCTTTTGGATATCTTAATTCTTGAATAAATATTGTGGAAAGAAGAAAAAAAAATTCATGGATGAATAATATTATTGGAAATATGTTGCCTTCATAAATGCAACATTAACATCACATAGGTGGTTGGAGAAGAAATAGGTAGTACATTAGAAATAAATTGACACATTCTTCAATAAATATACATTAATTATCAAGGATAAAAATGAAAATAAAAATAAAAAATTAACGAATCATTAATTTTAGAAAAGTGACAATGAAAAAAAAAATAAAAAAATACTACCAAAAAGACTATAAAAAAAATGGAGGGTGTATCATTCATGCAATCCATCAAATTCAAATGGGTGAAACCCAATCGATTTTGCAGTTGTGGCCAGGAACATAGTCTCCAACATCAACATTAACCATGGCAGCACATTATTCAAGGATACGCTCTCCAATAATGATGTAGAATGTACATTTTTCCATAATTTGGAATATTAGCAAAATGCATTAAAATGAAACATTTGGGATTTGATCCCTTGATCTTTGGTAACAATGGAAGGTTGACTAACCACAACATTAACTTCATTCATAAGATAATTGTCTGAGTTAAATACTTTTAATATATAAGGAGGATATTTTTAATGTAAGTCTACCTAAACTTACTCCGTTCAATAACTCATGTTCTATATCAAATTTCAATGATCCAACTGTTGAATTTAATGTTTTTAATGCATAGATCAAATTTACATATTTAATCTATGCATTAAAAACTTTAAATTCAACGGTTAGATTGTTGAAATTTGATATAGAATATAAGTTATTGAAGGAAGTAAATCTAAAC